ATTATAAGTTGAAAGTGTCAACTCTCAACAATTAACTCTCATTGTATGGGTTTTCATGCTTTGTTTGAATCCAAACGTTAATCCATTTTCAAAGATTTTATAAGAAGATTCGTTTTTTTGTTTTAACCCGTTTCATTGTTATGATTAAAGTTGATCACAATCACAATATAAATATAGATTTTGGATATTTTTACAATCAAATTGATTGAAACCTTTTCACTTTCCCATAACCAAACAAAGATTTTGTTATGAATTGAATGTAATGTTGACTTACCTTTATTTATTGAATTATGCTGATTATCCTGTGAATTCATTTGTTTCTGGTTAAAGAAGGCAAGAAAATGATAATTAGATCAATTACAATTGAAATTTGGTTAAAGATGAAATCAAGTAAACTTTGCATTTATGTGATAGAAAAGGCATTTTGGAATAAATCTTCAAGGTTTCCTTTCATTTATAATGTAATTAACTGTTTTCCTATTGAATTAATCAACCTCGTTTTTTATCTTATATTGTAGTTGATTGTGTCTATTGAATGAGCTTTTAATTGTTGAATACAATTTGAAAAAGCAAGGTTAATTTCATGGTTACATTAGCTTAACAAGGTAAACCGAAATGACAATTGTTCAAATGAAACAACAAATCTTGCCAAATGAAAACCTGATTTTTGTTTCAACTTTTTTACAGGCAACAATAAAATTTCTCAAAATTGAAACCTTTTACAAATAAACATGATTAAACGACAATTAAAAGATGATCATTCAAAACATTTGGAAAACAATTAAACAAAATAAAACCAAGTAATCAAATTAAAGTGAAAGTTACAATTTTTATCCAAATCATCAAAAGGCAATAAAGAAACAAGTTTTCCCTCAATATTAAAGAAACGCAGAAACATAAGAATTCAAAATTATCGCTAATTATTGGTTAAATAACGCCATAAATGGAATAATTTTACTCATTAATTTAGATTATTTTATTGTATCACGACATGGAAAATCAGGCCACAAAATTATTGAAACGAAAATCAGCGAATGAATTCAAAAAGAAAATCCATTTTTCGAATTTCCTTCTGAACTTTGCTTTTGATGTTTGTCTCACGACTAAATATCAATCAATGTATCTGAGAATTGACGTCAAAATAATTAACTAACTGTTGAAAACTATCCAGAAGAATTGGATTTCCAAAGGAATCGCAGTTCAATCATTTGCAGGGCAATTTCAATGCTTTCGTCAATCTTCTCTCAATATGTTTTCCTATCATGAAATGAAAATGACTTTCAGTGAATCGTGTTTAATAAACCTTAAAAAGCTGATTTTTTCAGTTCAAAATTTTCTTTCAGTTTTTTCTCATATTTTTTGAATCAACCGAGACTAATTTTCAATGCAATTCCTATGGAATCCTGATTTGTAACTTTACCAAAATTCAGTTTTTGTAACTTCGCTCTTTGCTTATTCAAATTTGAGTTATTGAATCTATCGATATTTGTTTTTTAAAGGTTTTTATGAGGTGAAAAAGCATGCTTTAATCACTTTCGTTGTATCCTCACAGGTTAAGGGGTTCAATTGATGATGAATCAATACTTAGACAATCAATGTTAATAGACTTTGTTAATGATAGAAACATAAGTGGCACGTTTTAATAACTGTTAAGTTGCTAGTTAAGCTTAAATGTTTAAACATAATCAGTTGAATGACCAAGAATTAAATCCAAATGTATTGATTATGCATTCAATTGGGTGTAAAAAAGTGCAACCATAAATTGATAGGTTCATTGTAACAGTTATATAAAAAGCCGAGTAAATCTTGAAGGTAAACAAAAAAGTTAACATTGAAATGGAAAAGTTACGATTTAGTAAATCAAGTTAAATCAATAAACATAATGTCAATGAACAGGACAAAAATTATCATAATTATAATCAAATCACCAGTAAACTGACTAATATTTACCAAAAAAAAGCCAAGACTAAAGTATTAAAAACATCAATAACAGTCAATCCAGTAGCCGATTAAGTCAACCTTGTAAGGCAAAAAAAGTAACATCTGAATGCAAGGCGTAAGAGGCGACTCATGTAAGATTTCAGCCAATTTCAGATTCATGATCATCGGGATTAAATATGGTTATTCGAGGAATCCCTGATCAAGATTAACTAAATCAACTAAACTGACCATTGAGTGTGACTAAACATAAGATTATGACAGTTAAAGATGCAAATCAAAATGCTTTTTCACCCCTTTTTGCCTCATCATATTTTCATGGCAATTTCAAAGCGATCATGATTCCATGTTTGGAAAATGTTGAATCAATTATTTCTCTTTTTCTTTGTTTCGCATTTTGATTAACTCTTTTTTTTTTGCTATACAAATCAATGAGCTTGGCTTACAATTTATCTTGATTAGTGAATAGAAAAAGTGAGAAAAAAATTGTTTAATCATTTTTCTGGTGCATCATTAAGATTGTTAACATTGTTTCAACTCAATTCTTTCCTCATCAATCCTTAATTCATCTCATCAATATATAATTGTAATGGTTAATTTGAACATCATTAAACAATGTAATTTAAGGTTAAATGGTTCATGAACAAACAATTTTGTTAACCTTTGCTGTTAACTTACAGCCAACCAGAAAGAAAAGGCTTAAGATTTCGTCTTGAAAATCACTTAAAATCACAGTCTACCAACAATTAAGGGAAAACATTTTAATCAATATTTCTGCTAATTCCAATCTGATTGGACATTCATCATCTAAATGATCCCAAGTGAATTTAATCAACATTAATGTAATCAACTGTTAAATATAGCAGAATGTAATTTGTCTCGTAAAATGGAATCTCAATTATGCTTTTGTATACATTGACAAGGTAACAAAGCGCCATTGGAGGAAAAATTTGGGTAAAAATGTCGAGATTAGGTAAACTCTTGAATTAACTTGTAATTTAATCATCTAATTAGTCTATTAATGTATCATATTTAAATGATTAGTAGTCAAAATTAGTAGGATTAGTTGTTAAGACAAGGGGAAAAGCAGGCAAATCTAATCAGACTTTTTTCTTCCTTCCTTTTACCATTTCTTACCTAAAAGATATAATCAATTAAACTAATTTGCTATCTAATTTAGATTTTCAAATTATAATCAAATGTCTCGCTATCTAAATCTTCAGGTTAATCTTAAGCTAATCTTGAATTTAGTCTTGAAATTTTTGTCTTTTAATCGCAACATTTGTAAATGTTAATCAAAGTTGGCTGAAACAAAAACTAATTGGTTAATGATTGTCCATAAATTACGGGAATGTTGTTAATCAACAATTTGAAAGGTTAAATTAATGTTAATAGTGTTTCAAATGACAATCACAAGTGATTGAAATTAGGCCAAGTAAATAGATGTTAAAGGTAAATCATCAAACTTATTGTATTGTAAATAGATAGTTGTAAAACCCTGGGAACCACAAAGATTTAAACCTCACAAAAAAACGTTTAAAGTCAGTAAAGATGAGAAGAAGATGAAGAAGAGTCGGAAGATTTTTGTATTTTGTTGTTGATCACAGACACCATTTTGGGTTGTTAAAGGATACAATTTGAAAGTGAATTGTTGATGAAAGGCTTTTTCACATTTTTTGGTTAAAAGATAAACATCGCGACTAATGAAACGATTATGTGTTGTTGTGTTAACAAACGTTGTGTGTGTGTGTGTTTGACCTTTACAATGTACAATCTTCATTCATCCTGTCTCAATGACTAAGATGCGTCTATTATTGTCGCAAAAAGATGCGTCAAATTGGGGTTAAAAAAGAGGTTAAAGGTGATTTAATACTCGGAGTTTTTTCTGCATCCTTTTTACACGTCTCGTCATACTTCTTTCTGGTAAAAGTGTTTAAAAGGTAAAGACAAATTGGCCATTAAAAAGGACACTGACGAGTTACAAAGGAAAGGATCTGTTGACAATTTAAACTGTAATACATTAACGGTTCAACACAATATAAAAGGTTACATTTGGCTATTCATTGAGGTGAATGAAAACGAGGTTAAACGGGAAAAGGTAAAGGTTAAGGCAAAGGATTTTAAAGATGGGTTAACATGAAAAGTGTTGCCCCGTTCAAGGCGACGTCTAAGATATCATTTTAAACGGTCTTAAGTAAGGTCTTGGGTGATGTTTAGGCAGAGTGATGGGTAAGGGTCTGAAGCAGTTGAGTTTCATCGAATGCAAAGTTTACTGATTTGTTTCATGGTGTTGATCAAGTGACACGATCGACCATTTTGCACTTTTCAGTGGATACTTACTGGTAAGTAGATTGATAGAGATGGTGCTTTAATCATATCCCATAAAGCCATGGATGGATTAATTTGGTAATCCCGATAATTAGAGTATTTAACATGCTGTTGATAACCATCTAGGTTTTGAATGTAACCATGAGATTCATAAGAGTTACCGACAGTTGCTCCGTAAGTTTCATAGTTATCCATGGTTAAGTTAAGTTAGTTGTTGTGATTAAACAACGATTAAACAAAGATAAACAACGGTGAACAAAGGTAAACAAAGGTAAACAATTTACACCGATTTCATGATAAATGAACTTGATAAACTTGTTATATATTATATTATATATATATATTTATACGTTTTTAAAGGATACACTGAAACAAACAAAATGTGTATTAGTAGTGGCTTTAATAGTGTATCATGCAAACATACAAGTTGCATGATACACAACACATCAAGTGAGTTAGTGAGTAGAGAGAGGGAGAAAGAGAGAGGATGATAAGGGAAGAGAGGGGAAAAGGAAAGAAAGAGATTAAGAAACAAGATGAATGTAAGAGAAGAAAGAAAAGAAAGGGAAAAGAGAGGAAATTTTGAGCCCTTTAAACCACTCCTATTTGTGATTGGCTGGATGTGTAAGTATTTTATGCGCGCTTGCTCAGTCACTTGAGCTGGGACACTTGACGGGATGATGATGATGATGGTGTTGCTGGTGAATGCGATGGTGTTTTTGGTGCGGATTCCCTTCGAACGGTTATTCGCTGAGTAAAGTCAACTTGATGTTGTTGATGTTTTTTTAGCCTTTTAAGTTTTTTTTTTGTGTTTCGTTTTTTGCCTTCTCCAGGTTTTTGTCCTTTTGTATTATACTTTAAATTGATTCAACGTCAGGCCAAAAATGAAAGTGATGTCGAGTTGGACTTTAAATAAGTAGCGATAAAAAAGTATAACAAGTTTAACATTAGTGGCTAATTGTTTGTTCAAATTAACAATAATCAACATCGATTCGATTCTTCATCATCTTCGTCTTTTCCATTTCCTTCTTGTCTCTCATTTTAATTGTTGCTCAGCAATTTCATCAATATTTTTGCAGTTGAGTTCCTATTAGCAAGATTCAAATGAAATAAAATGAGAAAATTAGTGATTCAGTGAAAAGATTGAAATGATAAATTAAAATCAAATTGTTGCCCCAAACGAGAATGAATCGAGTTTTACTTTAAAATTTGACGAAAAAAAGTCGACAAGTTTTTAATTGCGAGTCTTTGGGAAATGAATTGATTGCTAAGATGATGCTTATTAACTGTCAGAATCAATGTGTAAGGAAATGATGATTTAAATTAAAAAGGTTGATGAGGCAATGGAAGACGAAAAAAATGTCAACATTGTAATGTGTAAAAAGTTAACTGTATCGTTGTTTGGTAACACAAAGGTTAGTATGTGATGAGGTGAAATGATGCTGATGATGTTGGATGATTAGAAAAAAAGAGTTTGATGAATATATGTAAGATGAAAGAAAGAGAATGAAGATGAGGATGAAAAGGGAAGAAAAAAAGGTGAGAGAAAAACAAAAACAAGGCAAACAAGAGTACAAAAAAGATAGACTTATAAACATCGGTAAAAAAAGTGTAACAAGGAAAAGTTGTAAGTGTTATATCAATGGCAAGTTGAAGATGAAAATGTTAATATAAAATAAGTAAGAGTGAAAAAAGTTTCATCTAGTGTTTCAAATAGAAGTGAAAAAAGTTCATTTTATCAAGATCCATCAGAGTATTGTTGTATATACCTTTTGATGTTCAAATGTTAATCTAATTTATTCTGATTATTATATTGATGTTTTCACTGAAACAAGGTAAACTTTTTTAAACTTCAACTACTAATTACCATTAAAATATAGTTGAGTAGCATTAATGTAATTTACAAATCAAAATGTTTTTTGCTTTTAAAGTAAATTTTGAATAGTTTTTTGCTTCACTGACAAACTGAAGGGTTAAAGGTAGCAACAGTTTGATCATAATTTCGATGACATTTCAATTGTTTCAATGAAACAATCAAATTGAATCTTACCCTTGAATCCAGTTTCAGGAACAGGATCTGAAAATTGAACGAATAAAATGAATGATTAAAAATGGTTAAATTAAGATGATCAGTTAACTATAATTTTTAACCTCAATTTTGATATTAAAAAAAATGGTTTGAAATTCAATATTTCGATCTCATCAGTTGATTTAGTTGATTTGATTAATTCAGTTAATTTACCTTTGATATAATCTTCTTCCAAAAATGATGGATCAATACAACTTGGTTCATCAACCTGTTAATAAATAATGGTTACAGTTAATTAATTGAAGGATTTGGCAAATTTGATTGAAATGATGAGCTTTGCAAGTTTCAAGTTAAACATACAAATGTTAAGATTGTAAATGAAAGTGATTTTTTGGTCAATTGTTTGGGACATAAAACTACTTTGAACAACAATTGAGGAGAAAAGTTGATTAATTTTGGTTTAATCAATAGCATTCATGGTGACTGTACTTGCAATTAGGAAATGAGGAAAACATTGAGTTTTACCAAAATTATTTGATATGACATAATCATTAACGATATCAATATGTTACACTTTAATTACAGAGAGTAATCATCATGAAAGGGTTAATCAGAAGTGAGGAAAAAAAGGTGAAAGGCAAAAAAAGCATGATTTTTCTCATAAGAAAGGGATAAATAAGATGAATTAGTGAAAGGAAATTGAATTGTAAATGAAAGTGTTGAACAATATGTTGTCAATTGTGCGAGTATTGAAAAGTGTAATGATTAATTACATTGATTAATGATGATTAACACGAAAAGTGAATGGTGAAAGACAATTGAATGACGAGGGAAAAAGGCGAACCAAGAGAGAGTAAGTTTTGTGATGAAAATTGAAATAAATGGCGAAAATGTGTTGCCCTTTTGATGTTCAATGATAATCAGTGAACTAGGAAAGTCAATAATCAATGTAAAGGGTTAACTAGTTGCCTGAAGTGCCGTCCGTGAGATTTTACTTCATGTTTACAGGTAACCAGTACATAAGGTATTAAAATGTTATATAACTGTGAGTGTGTGAAAGGGTTAAGAATAGTATTTTTTTTCTAGGAAATCTTTTTTTTATGGTAAAGTCAGTGAAATATAATTTTGATGATGCGATGAAGAAAAAGGTAATAAAAAGATTTCAAGGTTAAGGTAAGATGCTGGTAGTCATTAGTTGCTCAAAGGGTAAGGTTAAGTTGAGGGTTGTTATGGGTGCAACGGAAGGTGAAGGGTGAAGGGTAACCCTGGAAGGGTTGCAAGTTGAAAGAAACTGTTTAAAGTGAAAGTTTCAAGTTTACAGGTAAAAGGCTAAAGAGAGAAGAAGGTAAGAAATGAATGAAAGCAAGCCTATATGAATAAACATAAAAAATGCTTTCAAATGGTTTGTCTGTGCAAAAAATTAAATCAAATGTAAGAAGAAGATGAAAGCGTTGAGGTGAAGGGCAAGGTAAAAAGGTTATGATAGGAAGACAGATGCGTGTTTTGTTACATAACCATATGTTATTATTGCCATTGCTTTGATCAAGTCAATTGATGATGCAAAGTAATGATTAAAAGGGTTGACAGGTTAAGATTGACCATAAAGGTGAGGTTAGTGAAAAGACAAAAAAAATGTTTCCCAGAAAATTGAGATTCATTGGTTTTTTTGCTCTTCATCAACTTCTTGATGCAAATGTTGTTCAGGTAAAACAATGGAATCATTGATATCTTTTGAGTTGATAATTACATGAAGACGGTTGAAAATTGTTGTTATTATTATGTAAAGTGGTTCATTGGTTTTATGAGGTTTGCTTGATTGAGCTCATCATTTTTAACTCATGGGTTATGACTTACCTTTAAATAAATTAGGCAATTGGGAACCACTTTGAGTTCACCGAGAGTCCGTTCATTTCCTTGTAAAGGCACTTCATCAAGAAATAATTCCTGATCAAAAGGAGCAACCTTAAACTCATGCATAATCTGGAAGAGATGAAAGGATTGAAAAATTAGTGAAAGTCTTTTTTTTGCATCTTCTGGTTGAAACAATTAGTTATTATTGTTGGCTTTTATTTGATCATTTGTATTGCCGGTTAATCGTTACATGTTAAAATGTTGATTCAAAAGGCTTTTGTGAAAGTGATTCTTATGAAAAGAGACAAAAACAGTGAATCAAAATGGAAACATTTTTAAACTGTTTTAAAGCAAAGTTTTGATGGGATTCCAATTGCAATTAAGTGAACAAAACAATCAAAGGTTAATCAACTTGTACAATCAAGAGCATGATTGTTTTAATTGTTGAGAGTTGCAAGTGATGGTGATCAGGTTCATTTTGATGTTGATTGTGATCATTGATCTGAAATTTGGGTTTCATCAGTTTCATCAAATGAAACAATTTTCATCAACAAACTTTACGTTATCATCAAGTTTAAATGGGAAAAACAAACAAATAACCAAACTGATCAATAATTAACGGTAACAAACAATTAAACAATTTCAAAAGGTAAACAATACCTTTTTAATTTGACCTTTGTTTACCTTCGATTCGCAAGTTGAACAATTGAAACTAAACTTTTCCCAATCAATCGAGATAAAATTCACACAAAATTCAATCGCAAAAATGTTCAACTTCATTGTAATAAAGTTGATTTCATGAAATAAACGAAACAAAAAAGAAGTAAACTTTTCCAATAACTTTCACATTCATCTGTGAATCAGTTCATTTAATAATGAAACTTCATTTAAATTACATCATCAATCTGATTAATATTCAAATTCAATGCTAAAACTATAAATTCAGATCTAAATCAAATCAAAATGATTTAAACAAAAGCAATTATCGAAAGATGGACAAACCAAAGAGCTTTAATTGTCAAAACAGAAACCTGAAACCGTTTATGATTTATACATTGATTGGAATCAGATATTTTAATAGTTAATTGAATTAACTTTCACTTTGATTGTGATTGGATCATCATTATCTTAATCATCTTGTCCAACATTATTTTAACACCCGAAATGGGTGCCACAAGTGGAAGATGATGACAAGGAAATTGTGATAAATGAAGATCGAGGGAGAAGTAAAAAGTTAAACACAAATTTTTGGTACATTTTATGATTCTTTTTTTCCTATTCACTTGACTATTTAACTTCCTTAACCAAATGGTTAATCAAGATAATTAACCATAAAATGAGATTAATAACAAGTGAAATAACAGTTTCTTACTCATACCTAATTCAGAAGTAGCTCATTAAGGATGAAGGATGCTCAACATCATCATCATCCTTCTGGTCCTGTGTATCCATTTTTATTTGTATCTTGATATGAGAAAAAAAGTCACAAAATTGTGGACACACGGATGATGATGATAAGAGGGAAGATGAAACAAGAACTGGATATTTGAAACATTATAAGGTGTGAAAAGTGAAGAAGCTACAAAAGCTAATATAACATGTTTAAGTGTGTATCAATCAAAATACAAGATGCATTAGGTGATGATAATAAATGATGTTGGATGAATGATGAAAAAAAGGGAAAGACCATTTTTCAATTGAATTAAAACATTGAGAAAGGTTGAGATTCAATTTGAGTAATCATTCTTGCTATCACCATGAGATATTATCATGTAACTATTCAGTAAACCTAATTGAATAAATAATATATAAAGAAATGTTAACAAATGAATGTAAAGCGCAAAAAAAGGTTAACATAATTAGCCAAACATTAGGTGTTAATAACATGTTTACTGTAATGTATTGTTAAAGGCTTTTGTGTTTAGTATAATCGGTTGACCACAAAAAGGAAAGGTTAATTGTTGGATTAATGTTGATTGAATTACCTCAATTTTAAGTGAAAGTAAGGTTTGCATTGAAGAGACGGTAAATTCACGTTCATCTCGATATTTTCTTATCCTTGAGCTTCGCCTAGGGGCTTTACCTTGAGCAGAAAGACTTTGAATAGACTGAGATTCACTTCCAGGCTGACTTTTCATCTTTTTACGAGTTGTCTGAAAATAATGATAAAAAAAACATAAATAATAACCATATTAATGATAATTATGAATAAATGAAATTAGACATTTATGCATTTAGATTTTCAAGGTACAGGTTTCAACTTCCGACAACCTGTTTAAATATTAAATTAAGGGAAAGGAGTAACTCAATGGTTTGTTTTAAACCATTTTACATTTACAATGAATGCAGATCAAGTGAAAATTAAGGTGTTATTAGTGTAATCAGGTTTAAGTTAGTCTTCGGTTTTTAATTAGATTATGTTAATGTATTTTAAAGGTTGATTTGGTTGAGTTTCATTGTGATTTCAATTGTAACCTTTCGGGTTAATTACTTACACCGAGGAATGATGAATCACAGCTATCATCGTCGGCATCGGGTTCTTGTTGGTCATCTGTTTTTTTCTGAATCTTTCTTATATAGATTTTCTCATCTTTGAAATTTAACATTTTATCCATTTCCTTTTCAACTAGTTGATCAAAACAGGGTTCACAGGGATCTGAATGATGGATGAGAGAGATGATTGGAAAAGATTGAAAAAGATGTAAAAGAAGTGATGAAAAACAGGGAAGAGAGACAAAGTCATTTTTGGGTGAAAACGAGGAGAGAGAAAAAAAGGGTTTTTGGGGTAAGAAAATGATGATTATGAAGATGATGAATAAGGAGTTACAGGGAAATGGATGAAGGATGATTTAGGTATCATCATGAAGACAGCCACAAATGAGAGATTCATGTCTTGAAAAATACTGAACTAAGTTGTGATAAGTGAGAAGAAAATTGATGTTCAAAGAAATTAAGTGTCGCCATAATTTAAAATCTATAATTCACCAGGGATGATGAAGATTGTTTTTTTTTGTGTTCATCTTCTTGTTCATCGTTTTTTAGACTCTGCTTTATCCATTGTCTATCCTCATCACAAAGAGTCATCAACATGATACACAAAATAGTATTTACATAGACAAGATAATACACAATGAAGAGAGGGAAAGATTACAGGTTTGACCCGCGGGATGATAAGATGATGTTCAATTTGAAAGGGATGATGTGGTGATGATGAACAGGCAAGTGAACATAAAAAGAGTGATGAGAAGATGATTATAAAAAAGAGGAGGAAAAGTGTAATCGTATTGGAACGGGTAAAGATGAGCAAGAAAAGATGGAAATTAATTTTTGTGGATTTTCTGGATTTACTTATAAAAGGATAATGAAAATTTGTATTTAATGTAAACCATTGAAAAATGATTATTTAAATACTTGTAATGACAATAAAATTAAATTAACCATTTAACATTGGTAAATGATTTAACTTTGCCTGTAAACCCAATTATATAATAATAGCGATACTTGAACTGAATTGTTGATTGAAACTGTTCAAGTTAAATGGATTAGCAATTGAGTGTTGTTAATGTCTTTGGTCATCGATAACTGTTGACCAAAGGAAGGAAATGTTTTCAAGTTTGTCTTCTTCTTGTGACTTCTTTCAACAAAAGAGATTAAGAAAAATTTTCATCTATTATTTGGTAACTAAAAAGTATCAATGGAAGCAGGGAAAGAGGATGATGAGGATGAGGATGGCAATGATGATGATGATGAGTTTGAAAAATTTTCTTATGAGATGGCTCATCAAAATGCCATTAGCGAGAGCATCACAGGCAAAATGTATCTTCTTTTGGTATCTTTTCACCATCTCTTGAGAAGGAGGAAGAAATGAAGGAAAAAGTAAATGATGATGGAAAAGGTGTAATCCCTTGAATACAAGTTATTACCTCGTACTGAAAGTTAAGATATTTATTTGTTTCAATCATTGAAACTCTTTTTTTTAATATACATTTATCTGAATAGCTTGGAATAAAGTTGAATATTAAGAAGGTTAAAGAAAAAGCAATGAAAATTCAATATTATCTTGAGAGACTGTGAATGTTAACGATTAATGTCAATGAGAACAAATGTTGTGTGTGTTTGCGCTTGTTAATGATAATTTTGCTACTCATTAACTAATGCAATTTATTGGTGCAAACATTGACAATTGTAAATTTGACTGTTAATCGCTTTTTTGTACCTAATTTTCACTGACCCTGTAAAATGTACCCTGAATGAGTAAAAGTGAAAGGTAAAGTTTACTTGTGAGTTTACCTGAGGCTTGTGACTTTGCTTTTTTTATGCACATTTTGTGAATATGTTTGCAACATTTTGTTACAAACAAGGCTCCTTCAAGGGGTAATTAAGCGTGAGCAGAGGGCGAAAGATGATGATGATGATGGAAGAGGGAAAATAGATGAATAAGAAAAAAAGGTAAGAAAAAAAACGAAGTGATGATGATGAAGGAAGACAGAGAAAGTGTGTTGTGAATGGTTAAAGAAATGCAAAGCTATGTAAATAGTGAAAAAATATGGGAGAAACAAACAAGCAAAGTTAACCGAAAAAAAATGTGGATTGATAATGAAGAATAAAAATGATGATAGAAATGATGGAAATGATGATGGAGATGATGATAGATATAATGAGGAAGGTGGAGACTTGCCTGAGGTACTTTTTGAATCACTATTTGACCAGTCTTGAAGCCAATTCTTGTTTATACATTCAAATGGTTCATCTTTAATAATCAGTTTCTTGTAAATAGATAACATTTCCTCTTGTTTTTCCCTGTTCTGGGCTAACCGTTGTTCCTGGAAGGTAAAATGATAACAATTAGATGATAGATTAGTGATGATGATGAGCATGAAAAAATGGCAACAAAAGTGGACAAAAAAAGGTTTATCAATAAAGTATCAAAAGAGACAGAATGGGTGATTGTAAAGTTGTAGTCTTTTGATAGTCATGATGACCATGTTGACGGTGATGATAGTTATTCAGGGAAAGTAACAAAAAATGCATCTGGATGAATATGAGGAAAAATTGACAGAGTGAAACTGAAAGATGAAGAGTAAAAATATTGATGGCTGCAAGATTTGAATGTTTCATCAAAAAGGTTATCATCAAAATTCTGGTCATTGGTTGGCATTATTATCAGTGTGTGGCCTTCAATATGAATGTAATTATGTCTTAACAAAATCCAGTCTTAAAAATGTAATTCAAAGTAACTATTTTTTTTCCTGCGATGCATTTAGCTTTTCATTGTATGTTTCCAGTTTGTTTCAATCTTTTCAGGATTTACTTTCAATTTTTTGCCTTCTTCTTCTTCTTGTTTGCTGATTGCTTGTCTTTGCTTCAATAATGATAACTTGATCGCAGTCTTTAGGCCAACATCACCGTCAACAACATCTAATCATGTTGAAATGAATGAAACTCATTGATAATCAGATAATAATCAAGGTAATCGAAACCTACCCTTTCCTTCCTTTTGATTTCGAGGTGGTCTTCAAATATACTATTTTCTTCCACCACAATGGTTTGTAAATATTCCGGAATATCCCATTGAACTGAACTATCTGAAGGTAATTCTGTGAAAAAGAAGTTAATTTTTAGTAAACAAATATAATGCACTTAAATTATCGCTTATTTGAACAAACAAGCAATTTCAAGTTATGAAAATTGTTGCAAATGATAAGCATTCATTAGAGATATTTTCACCCTAACAAGGTTAACTGATTAATTGGCGATATTTGCTTACAAAGTGTTATGAATTTAAATGGGAAATTGAGTTTTATTAATCAAGTGAGAAATAGTTTTAAATGTAATTTTTCAATCAGATTTGATGAAACTTTAGATAAGACGAGAACAACAAAAGAAAAGTAATTATCAGTTGGCTAAGTATATTTTTTTCTGATTCTTTTTCTCCCTGAAAGTGATGATGGATTTTGAAATAATATTAGGTTAGTTTTGTTGAATAAAGGCCAAAAAATAATTTTCACTTTTAAAGTTACAATGAATGTTGTGAGCTTTTTTTTGGTTAAATAACAAAAAGATGAAGCTAATGATGAAAATGAAAGCTTTAAACTCATTGAAAATTGTCATTGTTGCTATTTAAATGGTTAAAATATCACAAATATGAGATATCATTCAACAAGAATCAACATTATTGTGACTGAAATGATGTCTTTACAAATGTTTAACAATCATAATGATAGCATGATTAACATCAATAAGACATTAACAGTTAAGGAATTGTAAATCTTTCAATTTTGTCCTTAAAAGACTGATGACTAAAATTCAACAGGCGGGTTAACAATTGCAAGTTCATTAAAGTACCAAAGAACTTGAAATTTTAAGATTTCTCCAGATTGAAATTTATAACTACAGTAAGCGATTCGGCAAATGCTGAGAGTTGACTAAATTATTGTTTGCACATCAATGGTCAGGTGAAAAGTGCGTTTGAGTTACAAGTAATTAGGGTTGAATGGACGAGAAGGAGATAAAGGATTGGAAAGATGAAAGGTGAGCAAGATGAAGGATCATTTTGGGTGCAGTAATCAATTGATCATCGATTGATCATCATGAATGAAAAGTGTATTTTGTAGTGTACATTTGCACAGAGAGTCAACAGTTATTGGATTGATTGAGCGCAAAAAAAGTGTCACAATGAAAGAAACAACTTGTTTGTCATTTTTTTATATTATTTCACTTTTATGAAGATAAATTGACTTTAAAGGATAACTTGTGAATCTCACTTTCAATCTTTGAGTGACTGAAGGATGTTGATGACGAGTTGAAAAACATATTTATAGTGTTGAAATGATGAAAAAAATTGCTGGCTACTGTTTAATGATAAAACCTTTTATGTACAAAAAAAGGTTTAAAAGTGGTGAAAGAAGAGATTAAAGTAAAACTTGGATAACCTTTAATCGTAAGCATATTATTTGCTAAGAAAAATATCATTGAATAATGATTTTCAGGGTGAAATAACTTTTTTTGTTTACCATCAACATTATGGTTGAAAACAAATTGTGAATGGTTTAAGAATAGATTAAGAGTGAATCAATGAGTTTTGGATTGGGTTAAGATACCTTAAGACAAGAGATAAAACTGGGAATCTTGGCGAAATAATTTTGCACTAATTGTCAACCTGATTAAACTCAAGCAATTTAACTGTAATACAAACCTAGGTTAGGTTGAAAAAAAAGATAATTAGTTCAACATTGAGTTGAAAAAAATGGTTAAGCTTAGGTATTGAGGTATAAAATGAAGATGCAGATGGAGACGATCAAGATGAGAATGATTATGATGATGGAGTGAAGATAATGCAGAGAAAGTTGTGAAGGCGCAGACCTCCTAAGTAGATAACTTATTGGGTAAATTTTGTTATTCAAGGTTCTTTATCTTCATCAGATGAAGGTCTCAGAAGGAGGGTTACCCTGGTTTCTTCCGGGAATCTTAAATACGATTCAGCCTTTAATATCAATTTGCCCTGAGTGTTATGGTAAATCTTTAAGTAGCTGTGGGAATCGGGCGTACACTTATTAATGATAATAATAATGGTTACAATAAGGTAAGACTCAATGTTAATAATATTATTAGCAACAAAACTGATTCTGGCTATTCAGTGGAATCTATTTTACGATTCGTTTCATGTACCATTTACCATATTCATTACCTGTAACCTCTGTTGGACGCATTTGGACAAAAAGGTTATCGAAAGGTTACAGATTTGGTTAATCTGATCAGCTATTAATATAATTTTAAAATATTTATTGTTAGGATTGACAAAGGATTGACTTTACTCAATGTTTTTTACACTCAAAACGGATTTGCATTTAACATTATCAATGTTTACTTTTTGTTTTATGCAAAGAGAAGACTTTTTTACTTTATTTTATTATAATCATCAATATCATCAATATCACTATTCAACTGATTTTTGGTGTTAGCAAAAAAAGTTGCTCAAAACAGATTCTTGACTAATTTCATGACTAAATAAGTCTCTAGGAGGTTCCTAATAAACTGTCAAAATAATGTGATAACCTGATCTTTTGAAGATCGCACTGGAAAAGGGAAAAAATGTTATAATCCATTTCTTTCCTGTTAACAAGTCTGTCTTTCATCTTGCTCTCTTCATTTACTATCCCTTTCATCGTCATCATCATCATCCTCGTCATCTTGCTAATAATCTCTTCTTTCTGGATCAATATGATGGATAATTCTTAAAGATCATGATGTAAGATAAATTAGGCAAGTGTAAATTAGCATATTCATCGATCTATGTAAAGCTGTTAATAATGTAAAATTGATTCTCCCTTTTTGATACTTTTTTATCGCATGAAATTGGGTGAAAACAAAATTGATTGTAACAGGTAAAGTCTGATATTTTTTTTCTCAAAAATCTATCATCTTCACTGTATTTGCTGAGTTGAAATGAGAAAATATTTTTTCATTCCATTCCAGTCTATGAAAGCAACTTTTGATATTCACAACAATAGTCAATCAATGATTGCTTTGAATAGCTGTAAATAGATTGGTAAATTAAATTGCATCAAATTAAAAAATTAGACTTGAAAAGAAAAAGCTTTTTTTCTGTTTCTCACTTTCAAATCTTTTTTAACCCAAAACAAGTAAAGTCTGAAAAATTTGTGTAAATTTAACCAAATTAACGATAATGATTATTGTGATTAAACTTGAAGAAGAAAGAGATTTCTGCTCACTTTTGTCATCAAGTACTGCATTTTTATAGACCAACATGTACGGCACCGATGAACCTTTACTGAATTTTGATATTTCTTTATCCGTCGATTTACTTGACGTTGTTGTGGTTGTTGTAGTTGCTGTAGCTGTTATTGTTACTGGTGCTGGTTCTGGTGCTATTGTAACAGTTGGTGTTGATAGGGATTGAGATGAGGATGAAGTGGATGGTGAGAGTAAATTTGTTGATGAATTTTCAGCTAAAGGAGTTCCTATGGAGGGTAAACTTGATGATGTTGCTGATGATACTAAGGTTGACGATGATGAAGGAGACGATGAAGAGGATGATGAAGATGATGTGGTTGTTGTGGTTGTTGTCGTTGTTGTGGTCATGCCTGTCGAGGTTTCCTTTGACCCATCTGCACATAGTTCAATTAAATTTCCTTCCGTTTTCTCAACAAATTCATCGTCAAATTTATACCAATCTCCAGTTTCTCGATCTTTAATGTGAGTCATGTAATGACCTGAGTGTGCTGATTGTCCTCTATGAACCAGAACGGCACATAAATGGTACTCTGTGCAACCAGTTACAGTTTCTTGAAAATATTTTCTCATGTCCAGGGTAAGAGGAAAATTAATTGATGAATTGAGCTTCCGTCTACAGTTTTTCTGGCGATCATAGATAAACCGGAGAAGTTGAAGATTGAGGTAAGGCGGACATTTTCGCAGCCTAATGGTTCTGATCACGTTCTGCTTGCTTTCACAGGTATTACAATAGTATTGGTTACTTCCTTCCAAGATTTCAGGCTTTCAGGTAAAAATGGTGAAAAAAGATGAAGAGAAAAAATTGAAAGGTAGAAAGAAAAGAAAGAGAAACAATAAATTAATGTTAGCCAAGAAAAGAGTGACGAAATAAACAGAACGGTTTCTTGATTTTTCATTTCAGATAAAAAACAATTCTTTAAAACAACTACAATCATCATGAGATTCATCATCGTTCTGAAGAGGTTCATTGCAAGTAAAAAAGCGACAATAATAAATGAAAATATGAACCAGAAAATCAGAGATTTTTTCACTTTTTGAAGAACGAATTAAAGTCTTAAATCATTAAAATCATTGATCAGGTTTTGAGCAAATTGTGATAAATTCATTACAAAATGTGTTACTAACATTTTGATATTAATGCTCTTTGGTCAGTTGACATGTTTTGGTCGAGAAATGGATAAAATCAACAGAATGGCCATTGAACCATTTGAAGGGTTTAATGATAATCTGTTTACTATCAATGTTGTTAAATTGTTGAAAGAGTTTAGCTTTAAAATTGAGTTGCCAAAAACATTCAAGTTTATCAATAAGCAAAATAATGCAAGTGAATTACTTTTGATTGCTGGGTTTACTGGAAAAAGTTTAAATGTTTACAGAAATTAAGAAGATGATTAAATAAGATTCTGTATTGTATAAGATTATGTTGACCTGATCTGGTTATTGAGTAAAGGTAATGAGACTTTTTTTGCCTGTTGCTTGATTTGTGCAATTAAATTTAACCAGCAAAAGGAAAGAGAGAGAAAGGGCAGCAATTAATCAGTACAATGATTACAATCAAATGAGCAAAAATGAGTTCTACAAATTTTGCAATGAAAAAGTTGAGCAAAAGAGAAAAGATTATCAATTATAATGAAATAATGGTGATAATAAGATGTTGACCATTAGATTGTGAAAGTGTCATTCATTGAGTTCATTTTATTATTAAATTGTTGATTAAAAAAGAGAAATCATAATTTAGATTGAGAAAGTTTTCAATGAAATTTCAGTGCAACTTCATTCAACTGAATCTCAATTTTCAACTGAAAATCCGTTTTTTCACCTAAAATATATTTTAGACTCACATCACACTGACACATAACATACATCATAACTATGATTATCAGTTGACAATTTATTAATCGTCAATTGATTTTATATAATTGACTCAATTCAACTGTAATCTAAAGTTAGATGATATAAACACATCTTTCATTAATGATTTGCGAACCTGAAAAACATATTATTATCAAAAAAGGTGATGAAGGCAGCAAAAAAAAGTTAAACCAACAACTGAATCATAATTTTTTACACACTTCGTCTCTTCACCTTTTCATGAAGATAATCATAAAAGCAATGAAATTTCATCAGAAGGTGACAAGAAAAAATAAGTGTTAAATGAAAAGTTTGTGATTGAGAATGATAATTGAACAAAAAATGAATTAAGATGAAGTGAACAATAATATGAAATGAAATGAAAAAGGTGAGCAACAATGGGACTTAAAGACATCAAGTATAATCATAAGATTGGGTGGACATTTAATCGGTACAATAATTCAATAAATTAAATGTAATCAGAAAAGATGAGATTGAAAAGGAAACAGAAACATGGTCATATCTGGAACAAATCATCATACGAATGTGAATGTTAATCTTCACTTTCCTAAAATTTATCTTCTTCATCTTCATCAGTTATTATCTTCATTGGCCCTTCTTCCCACTGATCTAACCTTCAAGAACAATGTTCATCGACGATTCTATTGTTTACCAGATTCCCACGATTCAGATTGAAGGGGCAACATTCATGAATATAAATGATCAAGATGATGATGACCTTTGATTTGTTGTGTTTTAATGGTCATTAGATGTAAATATTCAAATGCTAATTGTTTCCCTTTTCAAGGTAACAATGTTTACCAATGAAAGAAAAAATCAATCAATTTGGTTAATCATTTTCATTTTAAATCAATGGATTAATTGGTTCATTTTGATGAAGCATCACTTTAACCCAAATTGTTAGGAGGAGACATTTTTACATTTGTTTTTGCTTTTCAAATCAAAAATAATTGTAATCAGTTTGTTAGTTAAGTCGTTAGTTTAACTCAGCATGCAGCATTTGTGAATCTTTTTTTTTACATGTGTATTTTCAATTGCATTTGACGTTAATTTTTACTCACTTTGCATTGCAATCAACAACTTTGTTCATCATCTAATACGTTAACCAAACAAGGTTTTGGTTAACATTTTCAGTTGTCCTGCTGTTAATAAAGTATATACAGTTAGAAGTTATTATTCAAAGTTGTACACCTTATTATGTATTCAGTGGCAAGGATAAGGTGATATCAAAGTAATTATAAGATGATCCATCTACTATTCAACAGTTTCTAGATAATCATCTTTCGTTAATTTATGATCAACATGATTAAAGATGATTATAATGAGTAGAGATGATAATGATACAGAATAGGAATTGCATTTGGTCAACAAATTGAGGCTTTTAATTCATCTTAAGAGATGAAAAGTAGAAAATATTTTCTAACTGTATTTCAATTATAAAATTGAATTATGAACATGAAAATTTTAACCAGATTTTAAGTTTGATTAAAAAATGGTTGAATGTTAATAAGAGATAATCAAGTAATTTCTGGTAATTTCAAGATTGATCATGGTCGATAAAAGTGTTCATTGATGGTAAAGATTTTCAAATGTTTATAATTATTGATGGATTGAAGTCTGATATTAACGCAAGAAAAATTGATAACTTGAAAATAATCGTAAAGCAAAATGGGCGAAAGTTATCAAAATAAAATGATTAAAGTATGTTCTGGAGGTTTGATTTGTATCAATTTTTAATTTAATAACTGTCTAATAAAGTGATGAAATTAACCGGAATTTCTTGTAAATTGCAATTGAAAAAGAGTCAGAACGTGTTGTTTACTCTAAATGGATTGTACTGATGATGAGGTTTGATTATGATTTTTGATTAAGACTATGATGAAGCTAATGATGTCCAAGTTGATGATAGACTAGAAAGGGTTAAGCAATTGACATAGAGAGGCAAGAGTCAAGTGAATGATGCGTTTACAACGATTTTCAGTGTCGATAGCAGTTGAAAGATTGAAATGGTGCAATAAGGCGAAAAGATTCATCAAAATAAGGTGTCATTTACAGTTGAAGAAGATCATCCTTCTTCCTTGATTACCTTAAGGGCATGATTAAATCTGATATTGAATTCTTGAGGCTTCTCTTGTAATCTTCACTGAATCTGTCTCCTTGATTAACCTCCTAATTCCTTGTGTAAAGTGCCTAGCAACCATTATCCAAAATGTGAATTAGTTGAGTTTCTTTAGGTTAAGTGTTTCTTAATTTTTTTTGCTTCTTCTTTTTCCATCATTTTGTTCATCCTGATTATTGAAGATGACTGATCAAATAGATACATGAGGATGAAAATTATATCAAGGACTACTGAATAAAATCTGTCCTTAATTGCTGAATCGGCTAAATGTCGTTCAATTTAATTTTCTGGAAAAGAGTGGACAAAAATCTTGATTAAATTGTGACTATTTGGATGTTATTTTGTTAAGTAAATACTGTTGTAAAGCAATAACACAAATGTTTGCTGATTGTCATGGTTTGGATTACAAGTGGAAATTTTATCAATCAAATTTTCAGTAATGTTTCAAGTTGAAAATGAACCTTTTCAGGTTAATCAAGGTTTACTTATTTTTTTATCAACTATGGAGTTTAGTATATAAATCATCAGAAACTTGTGATAGATTGTTTCAAATTTTGGCAACTTTGAGGTTAATTAATCAAACTAAACTAGAACTTGAGCGACAATTTCAAACATGACAAGATTTCTGTTAAAAGTTAAGCTGAAAGATTGAGCAATTATGATCAGATTGCAATTGAAATTTACAATTAATCGGTTGTTGAGTGTGAAAGATTAACACTGACATTTAGAGGATGATAAACCATTACATCAAATAATTATTAACCTTTTACTGGATGAAATTCAAACAAAAGACTCATCAGAACGTGAAATTTTGCTCAAATGAAACAAAAAAAGATTTGAATGTAAAATGGTGGAAATGACAAAAAAAACACTGAAAACATGTTATACCGACTTGAACACTGTTAGATTAACTATTCCAAATAATGGTTCATTTCATTCAACCTTAACAATTAACAAAAAGGAAATAAAAAAATCGATGAAAATCCATTCAATCAGTCTTTGTAAATTATGTGATTGAGTTAAGCTTGAAATTGAGACTCAAGACAACATAGAATTATCCTGATTTTCGGAAGTGAAAGGTCATGGATAACCGATGATAGTTAAACAATACAATTTGAGATTGGATTTCATGGCAAACTAAAATTTCCATAGCAATGCAGTATTATGAAGGCATCATTATTTCAACTGGATGAAAAATCGAAAAGATTCGTAAAGAATAACCTTAGTCGCTTTTATCATCTGGCATGAGACGAAATGACAATCAGATTCCTTGGATAAAAATTTGATTTCATCAACTGTTATTCAATCGTGTCGCATTGAGACTGTTTAGGGAACACAAATTTTGAAAAAGCTGACTTGTTTGAAATATCCATGAACGATGATTGGTCTTGGGTTAAACCGTTTGCATGATGATTGTAAGTGTTAAAGTTGAAAGACTGAGTCAAATAATTAATTAAAAATCCAGCTATTTACCGAAAAAAATTCATCTAGACATTGATGAATATCTTTATGTCCTTTTATGTTAAGACTTAGTTCATAAAACTTTGATGATGAGGTGGTTTCCGTTCCGCAATTGCTACATCTGTGAAATAATGAGAAAAAAAATCATTAGCTAAAGCAAGAATTGAAATTAAATTGGCATAAATTATCATGATTATAAATACATAGTTGAACACTGATGTTTAATGAAAATTTCAAGGAATAGACTAAAAGCGAGAGATGGAAAGCTATGGATCAAAGCAAATTATCGCATAGATATAATTTCGAGCAGAATTTGCGAGAGTTTGAATTTGATCAGATCCATTTAATGGGTAGCAATTATCGATAGAATAAAATTTTTAAGGTGAGGTGAATGCTCTTAGAATTTGAAATCCATAAACTATTCTTGACAATATTCATGGAAACTGAAGTCAAGAAAATCTTCAAAAATGGTATCCAGAGTAGAAATAGAGTTCAACACTGGATTTCTTTGAAATTTTGTAGAATGTCCAAGTTTTGCCTTAGATTCATTAAAAATAATAGTCCAACACTGTATCTACGACCGGTACAGACCTTGTGACATATTCGTATTCTCCGCAGCATTGGGTTTGGACAATATTTTTCACTTTGACGTCCTTTTGAGTGGAGAGATCTTCTTCAAGTAGGGTTAAGAAAAGTTTACTAAATTCTTGGGCATCCTGTTGCTGTGACACATCAAGTTGCAGGCTATTTATAAATTGGGTTGGATCAACATAACGCCGGGCGCTAAATTGCAATCGGGCAAATATTAACTGTAACTGTCCAATGGGCGAAACAGGACTGAATTGTACACCCGAGGCGAGATCAGTAAGTGAAACTGCTCTATTCAATTGAGCAGATATTTCTTTTTCATCGTCTTCTGGTTTCCATTTGTAGATGGCTTCTCTTAAAAACGGATTGTGATACCAAATCTGTAAGATACAAAAAAATTGGGTGAGAATCAAATAAACTATTGAATATTGATCATTTGACAAAGGAGAAACAAAATCACATGTTCAAGCCATGATGCGAAATATGAAAATAAAACAGAGTTGTCAAGATATTAGGTGAATAGCAAGATTCTAGGTAGCATTAAATTTAAGTAACTATTTCACTCTTAGACGAATCTAATTGAGACTACTATACATCACGCGCTAAAAGCTAATTATATGAAGCTTTTATAAACATCTTTGTCACAAATCTAACATCAACTATGAGTTGGAGAGAGGGTCTTGAGACTCCGGTAAATTTAGTTTGGAACCATTCAAGCTTCAGATCTAGATTGAGATGAGATTATCAGATATTCCGATAAATTTCTGAAATATCAAGATAAGCTTGTAATAAGATTGAGCCTTAGTAATTATCTGAGATGGAATAGCTCGAATCTGTTTTAGTAAAACAACTAAAATATAAACACTGGTGATGAAGCCGTCTCTGTGTCAAATTGTCATCATCTCGATGTAAAATAAAGTAGATGTACCTGTAAAAGGCTATTAACATAACAAGTAGCTCCAAGATTCTTTAAGCCAGCAAAGGACCCTGGTTCTCTCCTTTCTTCATCCTCTAAATTAATATTAGAGGCTTCCTTATTAATGGATGGACGATTCTCTGTCAAACCACTTATACATTTTGGGTTATTGTTGCAATTTCGCCTAAGAAAAAAGATATAAAATAGATTTCAGATAAAATTGTAAGGGTAAAAGTGAATAATTTTTTACACAAAAGCGATTAATTAACTTACTTGCAAAAATTAGGTTTAACAGAACATGATTTAAGTCTTAGTTGATATGCTTTCAAAATATGATCCCAAGTGATTGAATTTACATCCACCGTGGCAGCCCAATCGACTGTAGCTTTCTCATTTGTTTCAGATCTTGGCATATTATTGATACACTTAAATTAATAAACAATACACAAATTTAAAATAAAATAATTAAAAGACTAAAAAAACAGATAGACAGAATTAATAACATTTGGATTTGATTGACTTGGATCATTCAAATTAAGCTAAAGATGTCAGCCCCTTACATTTATCCAATAACAAAATAGCCCGCCTTTTTCAATTCGCTTTAAATCCATATGACTGTCAGGTTTTCGACATCGTTTGTTTTCTTTCGCTATCTCTGTTTTTTCACATCTAGAATTTAAATTTACCTTTCAAAAGCTTTAATTTGGATATTTTTTCATCATCGACTTCTCAATTCAACTAACTCATGTGCTTAACAGGAGATAAATCCACTAACATTCACCAAAACTCAATCTGTGAATCGCACTTATAGATTGTACTGAAAGCTACTGATTCCTATGTTTATCTGCAATCATCTGTATTATGTTTTCAATGCCACCTTACATCATAACTCAATCTCTAATTCTTGATAGATTAACCTCTAATTTTCCTTGTTATTCTTTAAATCAAACTCTATTTTTCTATCAACCGAGAAGCTTCTCCTCCAATCCCTTCAAACAGTTAAACATTTGGCATCCAAAATTAACCATTGTCCAGTGTGATTATGATTTGCTGGAAACTTCACCAAGAGATACAAAGCACAGAAGGACAATTAAATATTAAATGACAAATAAATCAAGCAATTTACAGCTAATTATTGACCTTCTTAGCTGGCTGAGATAAAAAGTAAAACATGAAAATTAATATCAGCCGGTCATCTAAGGGATCAACCTTTTCCACCTCATCGTCACCCATTTTGGTCACTTTTCTCATCAAATTATTCCCATTGTTGGGTAGAGAAATTGGTCTTCTCTTAACTGTTCAAGACCTTGTTTTCAATTCTGTTTCAGCTCTTTAAAGCTTTTCATTTACTTAACTTTCATTCAACTTCAATTCAGATTTAGCTCTTAAAAGCTTTCATTCAGTTATTCATTTCAGTAATCATAATTGTTTTTAACTTTAACTTTACTTCTTTTCAATTCTTAATTATTGTAATTCCTATTGCTCTAGCAATCTAAGTTTATTGTTTCAACCTGACTTCATTTGTTTACTTAGCAAACATGTTTCATTCAGATTTTCAGTTGAAGCTCTCATGAGCTCTAATCCACCAAAGCTGACCACAATATGCTGCTAATCTTTGGTTAAAACAAGGGTTGAATTTCAACCTCAAAATTAGTGCACAAAAGAAAGAGTTGCAAAATTCCCTTTCTTTTTCTCAACTTCTAATTGTTAATCCCTTTGCCTTGCAAAGGCTAAGATTACCAATAAGGGTAAAAAAAGAGTCTCAAGACAATACTGATAAAGTTAGAGTTGTCACCCCTAAAGTGGCGTCATAGCTTTCTTAGTGTTAAAACACTCTTTGCACACAAAACCTAAATTAGACAAATGAAGACAGCAAATTTTAATATCTTTCTAATTTTCCCACCAATTTAATTTCTTTGTTCTAAAATTTGATAAATACAGATATCTCAAGATATTTTCCTTAACTGTTAAATTTTGCATCAAGCAAACCAGTTCAACCTTAATTATAACTGAAAGACGTCTCAGTCTAATTCAACTTAATCTAAAACTTAAAATTGTTCAAGCTCTCTGAAGCTATTTGTGATTCTTAAATTTCATTAAAAATAAGTTCCAGAGAAACTCTATTCTCAAGTATCAATCCTTTTCAATTTAACTAAACTTACTCAAGTTCCAACTCTTATGAGTTCTGATTGTTATACTTAGTGAATCCTAATCATTCAAAACCTTAAATCTTCGCGATACAAGGGTAAAGTCCCGAATAGTTTTGAATCATAGCTCTAGCTATCTTCATCATCTCTTATGAGATCTTCAGTAGTGTAAATTGTAACAAGAATCTGGAAAGGCTCAACGTGTGGATGGTTATCCATGATACGAATTTCAAACTTGATTATGAAAGCAAGTTGTGCAGTCTTCTAAGTTAGGCCTCTTCGTTGCTCACAAACCTTTCATTTGGCGACCACGGCAGGATTCCCGTCCGTGTGTTAAGTGTATGTTCCTGATTCCTGTTATCATTTTGCATGATCCATACCTTGTGGTATATTGCTAGTGCTTAGACACTCTTTTCACGATAAGTAAAACCTTAACTTTCAAGTGACCTTCAAAGTCAATTAGCTTTTTTAAGCTCTATTCATAGTTGAACTCTTTCCTTTAACTTTCATATACCATTGAGTATTCCTGTTCAACTCTTCGATACATTGTATCTTCAGTTTCCAAAGTGATCAAAAGCCATTGAGCTATCCCGTTGAACTCTATCACTCTTCCTTTCTTTCTTTCTTTCTGCCTTGTGCTCTACGACTCAAACAGAAGTCAATTCGTTCAACTCTTCATTTAAAATTCAATTTCAAATTTCAACAAAATTCATCATCACTAACGTGATCTTTATCCTCTTAATTCCTGACAAAGTAAAGTCATTCAATTTCAATTTCAATTCAATTTTACATTTCAAACCAGTTTTAGTTAAACAGTTTCAAAGTCTCCGTACTACTTATCACTTGTGTGATTTCCATAAACAATTAACTCTATCACTTCTGTGATTTCAATTCATCTTAAAAACTTTATCACTTGTGTGATCTCAATTCAACTTTAATTTCTGAGCTTCCTTCAATTAACCTTCACCACAATGCAATTACGTTCTGGTCTTCACTTCAATGCACCCGAAGGTGTAGTTATTGTCCGAATGTTAACGCCTGATCAAGCTGTCAATCATCTCGCTGTTTGGCAAGTCTCGATCCCCGCTGCTCCATTTGCGCTTAAGCGATTCTATGAATGTCTTCGCACACACCTAATGCTTTATGGTGATACCCTCGAAGATAACGAGATTGGTGAGTTACCGATTGATTCCGTATTGAATCTTGAGATTCCTGAATGGGTAATCGAAAGTAGACAAAATGGTTTAACTGAACCAGAGATACAAACAATTATTCGAACTCTTGGTCGAGAGACTGAAAACATCTTTAGGTCTGCTCCTAATGAGATCTACGCTCTTCCAATTGCTCTTGGTTCTATTCGACGATTTATCGCCGTACTCAACAACCATGGCGTTCAGATCCCTGTAGCTCCCCCTCCTCCTCCTTCTATCGCTTCTTCCTCTCCTCCAGTTAACATTCACAATCAAGGCATTGATACTCAATCACTCGCCGCATCCTTATCCATCCTAAGACCTGATCCTCCAGTCGTTGAATTTGTAAAAGGTGAAGAGATGGTTGAATTTATTCATAAAACTAAGAATAAGTTAGCCCAAGAAAATGTTGATGATACTACTCGTCTTCGATGTTTTCGTAAATCTTTAGCTCATGAAATTTTAGCAATTGCAGAAAATGAAGTCAGTGATGATATTACTGATTATCATACTTATGTTAATGCGCTTTTAAACGCTATTAAAACTCCAGTACAACAATACTCAGCCGCTTTCCAATTAAAGCAATTAAAATATAACCTCTCTGAACATCCTTCTACATTTATTCAAAAACTTCGTAAAGCCTTCGCTAAAGCTGTTGGTGATTATTCCCCTGAAATATTCCTTCACGAGCTAATGTCTCATATTCCTCATTTCCTTACTTCAGAAATTTATACCCTTGGTTATAATGGCAATCTTGACCAAATTACCACTTACCTAATAAGAAAACATTTCGAATACCTACAACAACAACAATCCCATAAATCCCGCTCTGATAAAAATGACAAATCCAACTTTCACCCAAAAGTTTCCACTGTTTCCTCAATGTTAAAGAAACCCGATTCTCGAAATAATTCAAAACCTTACCCAAAGCCAACTTCCCAGCATAACACCCATATTGTTTGCAACTATTGCAAGAAACCTGGACATACAATTAATCAATGTCGAACTCGACCTCAAAATAATCGTCCATATAATTCAAACAGAAATTCAAACCCTTCCACTTCTAATTCAAATCAAAATCAAGCATCCTCTTCCTCTCAACCCCTTGCTATCACCAATACGCCAGCAAATGCATCCAACTTAACAATTGGATCAAATCAATTGCCTCCTGAACCAACTCAAGATGGTTTCCGAGATTCTCGTATCTCATACTCTCTTCAAACTGTTCAACCTGTTCAACCAATTCCAATGTTAACTAATTTAGGCGAATCAAAACTATCTCATATGCCTACTGCTGTTTTTAAACTTTGCCGTCCTAACAAAGAAATTGTCCGGGAAGGAAAAGTTTTACTGGATACTGGATCCGCTATTTCTGCTCTTGATTCATCTATCGCTGAAGAATTAGGTGCACATATCATTCCGTATTCACGATCATTAAAAGGTATTGCTGCTCAAACGTATGTTCCATCTCATGGTATCGCATATGCTGTAGTTAAACACCCTAAAATGGCAGAATCTCGAGTCTTCAGACTTCAAATTGTTAACAACTTTGAACCAGTTTGTTTAATTGGTAATGCATTCTTGCATCTTTATTATATGCAACTTAAATCCGATGGTAATGATTATATTACAACCTGTTCTGAGTATCTTGACTCAACCCCGCTTGATCCAAACTTTTATTTCCGATTCTGTACCCCCGAGGAAACTCAACAAATTCTTAATTCAACTCTCTATCCTACTGGTAATGACTCTGATTCCTACATTCTCGATACACGAACTAAACGTTCAGCAAATCCTGTTTCCCTTCAAGTTGGTAATTCTCCAGCAATAATTGCTAAATGCGATCTTCATTCTCCGCAGGAAATCATTGAAATTCAGAGACAAGAGCGCCCTTTCAAAACTAAAATCTATGAAAAGATTGACGAAAACCTTCCAGATAATCTTAAACAACAATTAGCTGATTTAATTGACTCTTTTCAAGACACATTTGCGAAATCAAAGAATGATTTAGGTTTAGTTCCTTCATCTGTCTGTCCCATCGCCATTGATCTTGATGGTCAAGTCCCTGAAACTCTTCCCTACAATTGTCCAATTCACCGTCGAAATGAATTTAAGAAAATCATTGATGAAATGATTGCAAACGATATAATAGAAGAAAGTAATGCTCCTGGTGGCTCTCCAGCCATATTAGTTCCTAAACCTGATAAAAGTTATCGAATGGTC